AGGTGCCATTAATACAGGTAACGAGTGGAGGACAGAGGAGCCTCTTAAAGAAGAAGTTACAGGTCTGTGAGAGCCAGAAATCTTGCTTGTTTGTAGGTGACCAAATACTTATTTCCACCATAATTTGCAAATAAATTCATAAAAAATCCTACAATGTGGTTTTCTGGATTTTTTTCTTCTCAATTTGTCTGTCATAGTTGACGTGTACCTATGATGAAAATTACAGGCCTCTCTCATCTTTTTAAGTGGGAGAACTTGCACAATTGGTGACTGACTAAATACTTTTTTCCCCCACTGTATATAAACATACAGATATAACGCAATGATCTGTCTGCTGCAGAGGATAAGTTCATTAGAGTTAACTGCACCTCAGATTGCAGCCCAAATACATGCTTCACAGAGCTCAAGTCACAGACACATCTCAACATCAACTGTTCAGAGGGGACTGTGTGAATCAATGGTCGAATCGCTGCAAAGAAACCACTACTAAAGGACACCAATAATAAGTAGAGACCTGCTTGGGCCAAGAAACACAAGCAATGGACATTATCCTTTGGTCTGGAGTCCAAATTTGAGATTTTGGGTTACAACCGGCGTGTCTTTGTGAGATGCGATCTCCGCATTTGTATTTCCCACCGTAAAGCATGGAGGAGGAGGTGTGATGGTGTTTTGCTGGTGACACTGTCTGTGATTTATTTAGAATTCAAGGCACACTTAACCAGCATGGCTACCACAGCATTCTGCATCGATACACCATCCCATCTGGTTTGGGCTTAGTGGGACTATCATTTGTTTTTCAACAGGACAATGACCCAACAAACCTCCAGGCTGTGTAAGGGCTATTTTACCAAGAAGGAGAGTGATGGAGTGCTGCATCAGATGACCTGGCCTCCACAATCCCCCGACCTCAACCCAATTGAGATGGTTTGGGATGAGTCGGACGGCAGCGTGAAGGAAAAGCAGCCAACAAGTGCTCAGCATATGTGGGAACTCCTTCAAGACTGTTAGAATAGCATTCCAGGTGAAGCTGGTTCAGAGAATGTCAAGAGTGTGCAAAGCTGTCATCAAGGCAAAGGCTGGCTATTTGAAAAATCTCAAATATATTTTCATTTGTTTAACACTTTTTTGGTTACTACATCATGCCATATGTGTTATTGCATAGTTGTGATGTCTTCACTATTATTCTACAATGTAGAAAATAGTAAAAATAAAGAAAAACCCTTGAATGAGTAGGTGTGTCCAAACTTTTGACTGGTACTATATATCACATTCACATAAGTATTCAGACCCTTTACTTTGTTGAAGCACCGGTTCTGGCTGGGCCACTCAATGACATTCAGAGACTTGTCCCGAAGCCACTCCTGCGTTGTCTTGGCTGTGTGCTTAGGGTCGTTGTCCTATTGGAAGGTGAACCTTCGCCCCAGTCTGAGGTCCTGACTGCTCTGGAGCAGGTTTTCATCAAGGATCTCTCTGTACTTTGCTACGTTCAGCTTTCCCTCGATCCAGACTAGTGTCCCAGTCCCTGCCGCTGAAAAACATCCCCACAGCATGATGCTGCCACCACCATGCTTCACCATAGGGATGGTGCCAGGTTTCCTCCAGACGTGACGCTTGGCATTCAGGCCAAAGAGTTCAATCTTGGTTTCATCAGACCAGAGAATCTTGTTTCTCATGGTCAGAGTCCTTTAGGTGGCTTTTGGCAAACTCCAAGCAGGCTGCCATGTGCCTTTTACTGAGGAGTGACTTCCATCTGGCCACTCTACCATAAAGGCCTGATTGGTGGAGTGCTGCAGAGATGGTTGTCCTTCTGGAAGATTCTCCCATCTCCACAGAGGAACTCTGGAGCTCTGTCAGAGCAAGGCCCTTCTCTCCCGATTGCTCAGTTTGGCCGGGTGGCCAGCTCTAGGAAGAGTCTTGTTGGTTCCAAACTTCTTCCATTTAAGAATGATGGAGGCCACTGTGTTCTTGGGGACCTTCAATGCTGCAGACATTTTTTGGTACCCCTCCCCAGATCTGTCCCTCGACACAATCCTGTCTCTGAGCTCTACAGACAATTCATTTGACCTCATGGCTTGGTTTTAGCTCTGACATGCACTGTCAAGTGTGGGACCTTATATAGACAGGTGTGTGCCTTTCCAAATCATGTCCAATCAATTGCATTTACCACAGGTGGACTCCAATCAAGTTGTAGAAACATCTCAAGGATGATCAATGGAAACAGGATGCACCTAAGCTCAATTTTGAGTCTCATAGCAAAGGGTCTGACTACTTATGTCAGCTCTAGGAAGAGTCTTGTTGGTTCCAAACTTCTTCCATTTAAGAATGATGGAGGCCACTGTGTTCTTGGGGACCTTCAATGCTGCAGACATTTTTTGGTACCCCTCCCCAGATCTGTGCCTCGACACAATCCTGTCTCTGAGCTCTACAGACAATTCCTTTGACATAATGGCTTGGTTTTAGCTCTGACATGCACTGTCAAGTGTGGGACCTTATATAGACAGGTGTGTGCCTTTCCAAAGCATGTCCAATCAATTGAATTTACCACAGGTGGACTCTAATCAAGTTGTAGAGACATCTCAAGGATGATCAATGGAAACAGGATGCACCTGAGCTCAATTTCGAGTCTCATAGCAAAGGGTCTGAATACTTATGTAAATTAGGTATTTCCGTTTTTTAACCTGTTTTCGCATTGTCATTATGGGGGGTATTGTGTGTAGATTGATAACAGGAATAAAATAAATAAAAATTAGAATAAGGCTGTAACATCAAATGTGGAAAAAGTCAAGGGGTCTGAATACTTTCCGAATGCACTGTATATACATATGTATATTGTGTATAATGTGTATGTTTGTGTTGTATTTTGCAGGGTACAGTTGAAAAAGAGAGCTAGATTTCAATATCTTCCCTGGTAAAATAAATAAGTCTACACCTGTCGTATTCGGCGCATGTGACAAACTTTGATTTAGATTTGACGAGTGTATACTCATTAGGCAACATGGTGAAGCCCTTTTCAGACTTCCAGCATTTTGTTGTAACTGACAACTCAGCTTTTTGACAAATGGCCTGTCTGCCATTCTCTCCTCGGGTATAACTGACAACTATCTGACCTTGGGTCAGGAAAACTCCTGGTCCTAGTTATACATAAACGTGTGTGTTGAGTGAGAGATATTATGCGCACAAACCAAAGAAGGTGGCCTTGGTAGGACTTGTAAGGCTATCTTTATTGCATATGAATGACATGACCTGACATTGCCTCCCTTCATTTCTCTGATCTGACATGTATCTGTGCTGTGTGTATAAGACAGTGATAAAACCAGTTTACATGGTGTTGAGATCTGCTGTGGCGCCTCTGTTACAGTCTGCCTATCTGCCATGATGTTCATTATAAGCCCATTTTGTAACATAAGTGTTGTCTGTTCAAAGCTCCTCACAGTCGTCCAATATAAAGAATACTGGGTAACACTATACTTAAAGCACTTTACATTCGGTACACAACCAATATGACTGTGCCAGACCATAGACTAAAACCAGCTGTAATAACTCATTATGACACCTCGTATGTCAGTGTTATGACAGTGTCATGCAGGCCTTATGACTGAGGTTCAAGCAAAGTGTTACTTAACAGAACAGAGCCTGATCAACCTGGGCTTTTCCTTCACATATGAACCGTTTTATACAACTTTATATATGACACATGGTTTCCAGACTATAAACATTGCGGTCGTAAAACAGTTCGAAGTTATTGGTTCTCCTGGCACACAGAAACACTTCATAGGGCCCCTGAAGAGTAGGCTATACACTTCTGGACCCTAGAGTGTTCCGCTTCGCACAGGTCTGCACTATCTGTACCTGAGGCAGATCATACAGATTTTAAACTAACTACAAGCGACATCTATATAGCAGCAAAAAATACCTTTCAGAGCACAAATAAACAAGGAGACATGAGAAACCAAGGGTCGGACTTACTAGACCATTGCATGTGCTCAAAGTTTGCACCTGTTATTTCCCACAGATAATAGAAAACATTAAGGGTGAACAGAAGGTAAAACAAAGAATAAGAGAACGATAAAATTACAAAGCAACGTGGTAAGATAATTTCATGTTTCTAGGCATTTTCTGTCTTTTATTTCTTTGAGAAAACAGGTGCAAACGGGCACTGGTGAGTGTTCAGTAAATCCTGAGTGTGTTGACCCTCTGTACAGACAGATTGCGGATATGTCACATATACACATTAAATGTACATTTAATTTCCTCAGATGGATTCCTGTATGGAAACCTTAATCTTTACGATACAGTTGATCCTCATATGGGTACATTGTGTTCGGACAAACATGACTTCAAAGCCTGAACAAGTCTGGCACTCAGCACCTTGTTGAGGGATGGATCGGAACAGGCCAAAACCAACCTCTTTCACACAGCCAGATTATATTCATCCAGGAGTAGGTTTAATTATTGATACAAGATCTAAAAATGTGACTTCATGAACATAGATGTCATACTTCTGGCCAACAGTCTGAGACTGAAGCTTAGTTAGTCCAGGACTATTTCAAGAAGCTATGTCCATGAAACCAAATCATCTTGAGTGCAATTTAGTCCAATAGTAGGTTTAATGTGGGTCAGTGAAACCAGCTGATCTACTGCTCTGCTTTGTAGACTCAAGCCCCATCCCAAATTGACCTCTAGCACAAACGCACTTGTGTAATTCTGAATGGACTGCAGAGGTGTAAGCAATACAGAGAACATTCCACCTAGCCTATCAGAGGGCAAGGTGGAGATAGTTGGTAATACCTATCTAATCCCTTTAGATACATGAAGTACATGAAGTACCTTCTATAGTAGAGGCTAGGGGTCTATTTGGGAATGGGATTCTGTCCCTTGTAGAGAGGCTGTTTAAATGTTGCTCGAGGGGATTCCAATTAACAGCAACTAAACAACATCTGTTGCTTTTTTGTTTTTGTTTTGTTTCCCTCTCCACCAATAAGAGCCCAGTCCAGCACAAGCAAGGGGTGTGGCCTAGCCCCACTCTATTAAGTCCTCATGGCAACAGGCACAGCCTGTCCAATGGCATACAAAATGGGTAGAGCTTCCTCTTCCTCATCTCTCTCAAAACCAGGTTCACGTTCAAGATCACAACAGTGTAACGTTTCTGCAAAGCTTCTTGGCAACGTTGAAAGTGTCTCCACTTCTGCCCCCCCTCCCCTCCCCCTCTCTCTTTCCATCTTTCCCCATCTCACAACCTGTCATCCATTTCATTCTATTCAGCCAAACAAATTCACATTCCTGATCCTTTCACAGCGTCCGGGGGATTTTGAAAACCCAACGCCATGCCATTTCCCATATTAGGATCAATTCTGCTCCAGGATTGGCCAGTGGGCCTGTCAGTCATGTTCATCAGCCCGTCAGTAGGAGGAGATTGAGGAGGAGGCGGGCTGAAGAGAGCCAGAGGAGTTGGAGCGTCTCATGTGAGGGAGAAGGTATGTGTCAGTGCCCAGCTGGTGAACGTCGAATCGATCCTCCTTACGGTAGGCCAGACAGCGCCGGATAAATGCCTGATACACAGAGAGGGATGTTAGTTTATATATGGAATAAGGATCAGCTTATCAAGCTTTTGTCTGTACTAGTCACATTCAGACATGTCCTGACAAATGTACATTTCAAAGTCAACTGATGCGTGTACAATTCAGAGGAACACTAGTGAGTATTATTCACCTTGGCTTGCTAGCCTGTGTGTGTGTGTGTGTATGTGTGCGCGTCTCACCTTAGCCTCTGTGCTGGCCTGGGGCTTGGCAGGGAACTGAACCTCAGTGGCTTTGAGGATGGTGTTCTCCTGAAGAATGTCCTGCTGAGACTGGTTGTGGCCAAACGGCTGCAGGAACACACACACAAATCAATGTTAGACTATGTTATGCTTTTTTGTCTAATAGGGTCAGGTGTTTGCACCTTCAGAAGAGTGCTACTTCAAAAGGGGCCATAATAAGTGGGCTTACCTTCCGTCCATAGAGGCACTGGAAGAAGATTACCCCTACCGACCAGACGTCCACCTTGTTAGAGATCTTAGGAGGCTCCTTGCCCACCACAAAACACTCTGGGGGAAGGTACCTAGACAAGAGGATTGGAATAACATGAAGGCAATATACCCAAGAAAACACCTAATATAACCGCTTGTGTGTGATGTGTGTTGCGTGCGTGTGTGTTTGTGTGTGTCACCAGTATGTGCCAGCTCCCTGTGAGGTAAGGTCCATGCCGTCCACTCCATAGTTGTCATCGTCCATGATCTTAGACAGCCCAAAGTCTGTGATCTTTATCTCGCCACACGCAGTCCCATCCACCAGCAAGATGTTACCTACACAAACGGCAGTGTGTAAGTTGAGTGTGTGTGTATGTCTATGTTTCCTATACAAACATGAGTGAGTATGTGAACAAGTGTGTGTGTGTACCTGGTTTGAGGTCATAGTGTATGATGGGGGGTTTGATCTCGTTGAGGTATCGCAGGGCGTTGACTATCTGCATGACGATAGACCGCGCCTCCTTCTCTGACATCAGCTTGTTCTGTTTCAGATAGAAGTCCAAGTCGTTCCCCTCACAGAACTCTAGAACCGTACAGAACCTAGAGTGGGACAGAGAGATGACAATGGACTCCATTAACTATAAACTAAAAGGCATCTCAACGGTCTACAATTCCTTCCTCTCCACGTCTCCTCTCCTTTATCTGCACTGATGTGAAAGACCTGAACTAATTTAGGTTTGGGGTAAAAAGTCACTTACGTGTCTGTATCCAGGGAGAAGTAGTCGTACAGTTTCACTATTCTGGGATGGTCCAGCTGTTTGTGTATCCGATACTCTCTACAGGCATGTCTGGGACAGGAAACAATATTGTGTGTATGTAAGTCTGGTCAAAGAATGTTTACGAATGGTATAATGTGGGTTGGAAATTCTGCGTCTAATAACATTGCCTGGTCAGAGCAGACGGGACATACTTGTGATAGTTCTCCTTCTTCTCCTCTCTCCAGTTCTTGTTGAGCTGGTGGATTTTAACAGCTGCATAGCGCTGCTCAAACAGGTCAAAGGCCTGAAGACACAGAACACACACATCAGAAACACAAGTACAGTATGGATCTAGAATCTATTAATAATCATTCACAAGCACATACTAGTAGTCAATCCGTACCTTATAGACCTCACTGAAGCCTCCTCTGCCCAGCAGATGCAGTAGCAGGTACCTCTCGTTCAGAGTTGGGTGGTCTTTAAACCTGACAGACATACAGCACAAGCTGAACAATTTTCTTCATACAACATATAGGGTTTATTTACCAAATTACATCTACAAGAACTTTCTCTTACAAATACCTAGAAAGTAGACTATGAACTGGCCAGTCAGCGACACTATAGCTACTGGCCTACGGGTAGGTAGGTCCCAGGGATGGGTTTTGCACCGGGGCACAATGGAGGTGTTAGGAGTTCCTATATGATTGCGTCTTCCTGTCCTGTACTTACGATGAGCTGTCCTCGTTGTTGATCCTCTTCAGCTCTCTGATGTGGAGGTTCCTCACCCTCTCTAACCGCTCCAGCTCTGCCTGGATCTCTGCCTCCTCCTGAGAGACAGTCACTCAGTCAATCGTATTCATTTTGGGATTCGGACTATAGTGTTTTTTTACAAACGTGTTTGTGTTCATATTGACTCTGACCTTCTTCAGGTGTCCCAGGCGAAGCTTGAAGATCTCCTCCTGCTCGTGATACTCAGCCAGAGTCAACCTAACAAATGGTTGATTTAATGTCACTGCACCAACATCGCAACAGTGTGAGTGTGTATGCATCTGTCCATACACTTGCATGCCTGTGTGTGTGTGTACACTCACATCTGGGGCAGGGAGGGTTTGAGGAACGGGTCGGGGTCGTTGCCGTTGACGACCTTGGTCTTGCGTTGTTTGGGTTCAGAGGTGGTTGCTAGGGAGAGGGAGGGGGAGGAGGGGTTGGGGGGCTTCCTCTTGGCCAGCAGCTTCCTCTGACGCTCTATCTCCTCTCTCTGCTGGTTGATACCCTCCTGCTGCCTACACAGAGAAGAGGGTCATTAAGTATTTTAGCAGGTAATAAGGTCATAGCACGTATAAAAGTGTTAGTTTCATTATGCTCTGGAATCATGTAGTAACCCCAAAAAAAAGTGTTAAATATATTTGAGATTTTTTCAAATAGCCACCCTTTGCCTTGATGACAGCTTTGCACACTCTTGGCATTCTCTCAACCAGCTTCATGAGGTCACCTGGAATGCATTTCAATTAACAGGTGTGCCTTCTTAAAAGTTAATTTGTGGAATTTCTTTCCTTCTTAATGCGTTTGAGCCAGTCAGTTGTGTTGTGACAAGGTAGGGGGGGTATACAGAAGATAGCCCTATTTGGTAAAAGACAAAGTCCATATTATGGCAAGAACAGCTCAAATAAGCAAAGAGAAACGACAGTCCATCATTACTTTAAGACATGAAGGTCAGTCAATACGGAACATTTCAAGAACTTTGAAAGTTTCTTCAAGTGCAGTCGCAAAAACCATCAAGCGCTATGATGAAACTGGCTCTCATGAGGACTGCCACAGGAATGGAAGACCCAGAGTTACCTCTGCTGCAGAGGATAAGTTCATTAGAGTTAACTGCACCTCAGATTGCAGCCCAAATACATGCTTCACAGAGCTCAAGTAACAGACACATCTCAACATCAACTGTTCAGAGGGGACTGTGTGAATCAGGCCTTCATGGTCAAATTGCTGCAAAGAAACCACTACTAAAGGACACCAATAAGAAGAGACCTGCATGGGCCAAGAAACACGAGCAATGGACATTAAACCGGTGGAAATGTGTCTTTTGGTCCAAATTTTAGATTTTTGGTTCCAACCGCCGTGGCTTTGTGAGACGCGGTGTGGGTGAACGGATGATCTCCACATGTGTATTTCCCACTGTAAAGCATGGAGGAGGTGTGATGGTGTGGGGGTGCTTTGCTGGTGACACTGTCTGTGATTTATTTAGAATTCAAGGCACACTTAACCAGCATGGCTACCACAGCATTCTGCAGCGATATGCCATCCCATCTGGTTTGGGCTTAGTGGGAATCTCATTTGTTTTTCAACAGGACAATGACCCAACACAACTCCAGGCTGTGTAAGGGCTATTTTACCAAGAAGGAGAGTGCTGGAGAGCTGCATCAGATGACCTGGCCTCCACAATCCCCCGACCTCAACCCATTTGAGATGGTTTGGGATGAGTCGGACGGCAGAGTGAAGGAAAAGCAGCCAACAAGTGCTCAGCATATGTGGGAACTCCTTCAAGACTGTTGGAAAAAGCATTCCAGGTGAAGCTGGTTGAGAGAATGCCAAGAGTGTGCAAAGCTGTCGTCAAGGCAAAGGGTGGCTATTTGAAGAATCTCAAATATAAAATATATTTTGAATTGGTTTATCACATTTTTGGTCACTACATGATTCCATATGTGTTATTTCATAGTTTTGATGTCTTCACTATTATTCTACAATGTAGAAAATAGTAAAAATAAAGAAAAACCCTGGAATGAGTAGGTGTCCAAACTTTTGACTGGTACTGTACATATATTTTTAAGCATTCCATGCATCATCGCATTTGTAGACTTATGTAAGATAGCCTACTATTCTATTCCTAATGTGATGAGTAGATTGGATAGTCATAATTTAGGCAAATAATATAACTCAATGACTGTTAGCAAAAAATACCGTTCAATGCATGGCTGAGCGTGCGTGGTGTAGAATAAGCCTAGGCTATATCAGATACGTTTCTTGGCCTTTTATAAACACATTTCATACAATTCTACTACACCAGAGGTACTCAAGTACTATTTGTCAAGGTCCAGTCACACATTTCTTAGGTGGCAAAGGTCCGGATGGATATAGTCTTTTATCGGCGTAGTAACAAACCCCCACCTCGCAACACATGCGACCCCAAACTGTTCACACCCCTCTTATTGGCGGAGAGAACATTTACACAAAACCAAAAAGTAATGTGACCAGGTAAAAAATTAATATCACTGGCACCCTTACGACCAATAAAACGTTTGTGTCGCACTGCCAAGTCAAACGGTCTCAAATGCGATTGTTTTGGTCACAGTATCGAACCAATAATTGATTTTTATCTCTGTCATATGGAACCGCTCGCATAAGGTGCGCTATTTAAAACAGTGTTTTCCCGTGAATTGCATTTTGGCAAATGTCTGAAATGATGTTTTACATTGGCTGCTTCATTTCAGTAGTTGTATGTTCAATAACACAGCCATTTGAATGTGAGAGGATTGGCTTGCTACTGTTGCACGTTTCAATTAAGCTTTTAATGAACATTTTCCATTCCGTATGGAAAGGATTTTCTGTTGGTCACCTCATTATACTATTTGGAACAAATTTAACCGTTTGTTAACCGGTTAATGAGGGTTGGTTAGACAGCAGCAAAATTGACCTAAAGTTGCGTCCCTAATGTAAATATATGTTGTTTGGTGCAGTGTGTGTGTTCTCACTTGACAAGGTTCTGAAACGCGTATCCGTCGGTCCACTGTTCAGTGTAGGAGGCTCCATGTCTTACGGTGGTGAAGTGACCCAGTCTCAGACGGTCCTGCATGCTCTTCTCTCTGCACGACTGTTTCTCCTGGGTGCTCTACAAAAACATACACACACGGGTTACACATGCAAGTTCATACGGACACGTCAGTAACACGCGCAAACACAAACTAACTTGGTACCTTCTCAATGAGTAGTTTCTTGCTCATGGTGATGCATTTGTTCAGTCTCTCCTTGTATTTCTCCAGTAGTTTCTGCTGTTCATCTACCTGGCGCCTCAGGTCACAGTTAGCCTACAAGAAAACCAGTAAATATCAATAGCTAATCAATACAATCAATACACAACCTATAAGTATCACCTGTAGCACCGTAACTAGCACGTAAACTCACCCTGAGCAGGTCATCAATGCGTCCCTCTTTCTTCTCCAGGTCCAGACTCTTGTTGCTCTCCAGAGCAGCAAGCTTCAGACCTGTCAACTCTGTCTGGGGAGAGAAAGAAAGGGGAAGGTGTTTGACATGTGAGGAGCGAGAGAGAAGTAGATGTGAGAAGAGTATGAGGAAAGAAAGAGCGTGCGAGTCTTACCTGCACACACTTGCTGGCGGAGGCTTTGTAGTTCATCAGGTGATCGCTGAAACACAGACTGGTGGGAGAGGAACTGTTCTGTCGGATCTATAGAGACAACACACACATACAGTGTAATAAACAATGTGATAAAACACCAAAACCTAAAAATCTCCTACTGCTTGTGTGTATACGTACGATGGAGCCTGGTGCAGAGTGAGCTCCGTGGTGTGAGTTCTGCGGTGAGCGGAGGACCTGTGGTAGAGCCCTCACTGGACTGGAGCCATTCCCCCCATGGAACTACACACAGGAAACAGCAGGGTGAGGAACAGGAAGTGACATCATATACATATAGCCCAGCAATAGCAGAGTGACTCAAGATGGGAAATTCAGACTGTCAGTCAATCACAATCTGCTTAATCAATCATTAAACCCCGACCCAATCAGATTATCGTCACCATGGAGAACTCAAAAGAGGTACATATAAACAAGGAGGCTGAAACGACTACATAATACAACACTCACATCAAAGTAGTCACTGATCTTGGGCCCCCTTATGGAATTCTTCCCTGTAGGAGAGGAGAGCCGATACCGTGGGTTAGCAATGCATAACACAGTATAACATACACAACATAGCACAACTCAGGGACTAGGGATGTGAACATTTAAACGAAGTTGGGATCCTTAACGTTTCAAAAAATATATTTAACCGAAAACCATGTTTTTCCCCGCCACAAAATTAACACCACAGTGCAGTTATCACAACATGTTATTTTTTTAAAACTAGACTATAGGCTATAAAAGCCTGGAGAAAGTTGTGTGATTTAAAGGTAGACTCATTCAGCGATATGAAGTAGATGCAGAAAGTAAACAGAGGGTCAATTCCCACAACTAAGAGCGTAGAAGCGCGAGGCTCAACTTCTCCGCTGTTTTGTTTGGTGCCCTGGCTACCACGCTGTGAACAGTGTGAAGCGAACCCGTGCACATGCGCAGATACTGTGTGTGACTGTTTGAGAGCGAAGTGTTGCATCTCACTCAATATCCTAGCCTATTCATTGATGATAGGCCCTGCTTTACTGAAGTTGCGCGACATTGCAAGGCGAAAAAATTGCGAGATACATTGAGGGAAAAAAGTATTTCATCCCCTGTTGATTTTGTACGTTTGCCCACTGACAAAGACATGATCAGTCTATAATTTTAAATGGTAGGTTTATTTGAACAGTGAGAGACAGAATAACAACAAAAAAATCCAGAAAAATGCATGTAAAAAATGTTATAAATTGATTTGCATTTTAAATTAGGGAAATAAGTATTTGACCCCTCTGCAAAACATGACTTAGTACTTGGTGGCAAAACCCTTGTTGGCAATCACAGAGGTCAGACGTTTCTTGTAGTTGGCCACCAGGTTTGCACACATCTCAGGAGGGATTTTGTCCCACTCCTCTTTGCAGATCTTCTCCAAGTCATTAAGGTTTCGAGGCTGACGTTTGGCAACTCAAACCTTCAGCTCCCTCCACAGATTTTCTATGGGATTAAGGTCTGGAGACTGGCTAGGCCACTCCAGGACCTTAATGTGCTTCTTCTTGAGCCACTCCTTTGTTGCCTTGGCCGTGTGTTTTGGGTCATTGTCATGCTGGAATACCCATCCACGACCCATTTTCAATGCCCAATGCCCAAGATTTGACGGTACATGGCCCCGTCCATCGTCCCTTTGATGCGGTGAAGTTGTCCTGTCCCCTTAGCAGAAAAACAACATTGACAGTCTTTTGTGTTTCTTCCATTTGCGAATAATCGCACCAACTGTTGTCACCTTCTCACCAAGCTACTTGGCGATGGTCTTGTAGCCCATTCCAGCCGTGTGTAGGTCTACAATCTTGTCCCTGACATCCTTGGAGAGCTCTTTGGTCTTGGCCATTGTGGAGAGTTTGGAATCTGATTGACTGCTTCTGTGGACAGGTGTCTTTTATAAAGGTAACAAACTGAGATTAGGAGCACTCCCTTTAAGAGTGTGCTCCTAATCTCAGCTCGTTACCTGTATAAAAGACACCTGGGAGCCAGAAATCTTTCTGATTTAGAGGGGGTCAAATATTTATTTCCCTCATTGAAATGCAAATCAATGTATAACATTTTTGACATGCGGTTTTCTGGATTTTTTTGTTGTTATTCTGTCTCTCACTGTTCAAATAAACCTACCATTAAAATTATTAACTGATCATTTCTTTGTCAGCGGGCAAACGTACAAAATCGTCAGGGGATCAAATACTTTTTTCCCTCACTGTACAGCTTTTGATTGCTGATAGATAGGCCTAGTGCACGGTTCTGACTGTCTGTCTGGTGGCTGACCTGCCTATACTGTGCCCCTCCCCTCTCTTTCTGTCCCCCGCTAGCTCGCTATGAAAGATGCAAGTGTTTGTGTTCTCGTAAGTACGGCAACTAATCAGTCTCCTCCGTTCCAAAATTACCGAATCTTAGGAGTCGATTCCTATTGGAATCGAATCTTGACACTCAGAAATGGGAGTTGGCACTGGGAGTCGACGTGAAAGGAGTCGAGGAATGAATTGCTTTGGAGTCGACTCTGCACCACGTCATCATTGTTAACAGTTGGAAAAATGGCAGAGAAAGGCAAGCGGTAGCACCAAAGCCCTGTATGGCAAGACTTTGAGAAGTTAAAGTTCCCAGAGTCAGATGAACTCGTAGACACCATTTTTATGTCTGTGTCCAGTATGAAGGAACTTTGCGAGGTCGAATTGAGGTTCATGAGTGTTGTGTTGGGTATGCATCATACCTTGGCTGCTCTCAGATTGGGTGTCAGCTTTCCTCTTCCTTCCTCTGGACAATTCAGAGTGCTTCTTCTCAGGGGTCTGAGAATAAACAAATACTAAATCACTTTTCTGACACTTGCATGTCCACTTAGGATGAGAGTGTGTTTATGTGGGTGTGTGAGGGGGGAGGGACAGAACAGTAGGAAGGAAGAGTACGTACAGAGTATGCAGGAGAACTCCCTCTCTTCATATCGGAGTTCTAGGGAGAGAAAGATACCATAGAAAGAGAGTCAGGAGAGGGTGAGCGAGGGAGGAACGAGAGTGAGGAGGGAGTGAGAAAGGGAGGAAAGAAAAGATTGAGGTGGGTCATGCAAGTACAAAATAAGATATAATTGTCCTTATTAACGGTCCATTGTTCCAGAAATTAAAATGGATACATAGATAAAATGCCTGCCCTGTTTGTCTCCACACAAACAAAATGGTGTATTTTCTTAAACCAGAGAGTTAGCCACCTATGTGTCTGTGATATCTAATCACTGAAACGAGGACAGCGGCCTCCCTCACTGACAGCGCCTCTGCAGTGCGTCTCACCTCTGACTCCTTGTCACTGGAGGAGCCCAAACTGCCATAGCTGTTGTTGGAGCACTCGTTGGCCAGACCCTGGATATACAGAGAAATCAGGCACAGTTGTTACAGTGTTTTATGTGTGCGCCTTTCAAAAAGTTTTTGGGTGTGTCTGGTGTGAGTAAAACCATGCATGTGTGTATTATAGTATTTATGATTGAGATAGTATTGCATTATAACGCGTCTCACCTTGGCCCCCCCACTGGCGCTGCCGGTGCTTCCTACGGTATTGCCGCTGACCGCGCCCATGAACCTGGCCTCCAGAAGCTCCTGCCTGCGAGGGTCCAGGCTGTGCAGCTCCTCCATGGGGCCTACACAACAACATAAGATGAAGCTATATATGGCTACGTAAGGATACAGCAAACTGCATCAGACTATATCACACTACTGCCCACTTCTGATAAGTGCACATTGGATAAGTGCATACTGTTTGAGTGCAGTGCATTTCACCACTCCCACAACATCAACTCAGTTATTTAGTCTGTGTCTATCTGGTATCTATATGCGTGCTGTATAATATGTATTTAGTGAACACCTTCTGGACAGCGCCAAGCTATTGCATTTATGTATCAGGTGTCAAAACGGTATGTTAGACTGTAAGACCACTACTGGACAAGCAGAGCCTCTGTCTCTACAGCTGAGCTGTGAAGTTCAGCCCAGTGTGGAACTTTGTCCCCATCAATCAACAAAACATGAAATGTCTGACACACAACCCCAGCCTTATGAGGTTCAAGTAAAGAGAAACCAGACGGAAGTAATACAACACTGACAAGCACTGTAAATATGTCCACAGCAATACCACATTGTTCGGATGTTGAAGTGATCAGAATATAAACTTTGACAAAGGAAAGTGTTGTTCCTTGTTGATTATTAGTCATTTGAATGCATCATAACTCAATGGATTCGCATTGACTTGCAGTAGCCCTGCTGTTTGACATAAGGCCAAAGAAAGGCATTCAACCACCCACAGCTGTTTAGTGATGGCTAGTCTCTGCAACACAGCTAACCTAGCTAGGTAGTTACATAAACAATGACAACGCCTTGGTCATCTGTGTCTGTCGGTCTAGTGGTCTAGCCTGTTTCTACTTGTTTTCCACTCAACCTGTCTGCTCCTGTCTGAATATTCCATTGTTAATGCTCTCCATTGCTCTACTGTAGTTGAATGCTGACACCTATCGAAGCTAGCTAGTAGCTAACGCTGGCTTGCTACTGTACTGACTGTAGCTGGCAAGGTTCAGCCATCAATTCGCAGCATCCATTGACATCCATAAATCCGTCGAATTGGGGCTATATAACTGGACACAGTCCGCATTTCCCATCGAACTGACTTCGACGCATGCCATTGTTGCTGAATTACCTTCCTTGGTCTTGGCGTTCGCCGTTATGTGCTGTTGATTAATCGTTGGGGACGAGGATAGCTGCGACCAAGATGGCGTCGCCTCCAAACTTCCACCACCACTTCCACTGTTACTTTGGACACTCATGAAGCCACTTTACTAGCGAGAGCGCAAACAGACACACGGGCATCCGTGCAAATCCAAAAACCCAAACTTGCATCCACCAACAGCCACCTGCTACACAGCCACGGCAGTCAATCTAATTTTGCACATTTTGTAAACAGATATTTTTCAGCAAGCTAACTCTGCAGTGCGTCTTCGTCTTGAAGTAACATGCTAGGATAAAATGTAACCTTTGCATCGATCGCGCGGCTGACAGCATCAGTTCGCGAACAGGGCTTCACAGTCACTAGTGCCCACTAATATTCTGCCAGCGGCACAAACGATGACGTCACGTTCACATGGTAATGCCGAAACCTTCAAAATAAAAGCCCGCATTTCACAACATTGTAATGTGGATAACTCATTCAAAATATATATAATTTTAATCAATGTCCATTTCTATTGTGACATCAACAAAATCAAAAATATGGTTTAAAAATGTGTTTATACCAATAATGAAAAGATACAATGTTGACACTGGTATGTTGAGAATTTTGTGCTGTAGAGATAACTTTTCCACCTGGTACAGAGACAAAGTTGAGTCGCAATTCAACGGCCCAGACACGAGATGTATGTGGCAGGGTCTACAGACAATCACGACCTACAAAATGAAAACCAGCCACGTCACCGAGACCGACGCCTTGCTTCTGGACAAGCTAAACACCTTCTTCGCCCACTTGGAGGATAACACAGTGCCACCGACTCGGCCTACTGCCAAGGACTGTGGACTCTCCTTCTCCTTGGCCGACGTGAGTAAGAAGTTTAGGCAAGTTAACCCTCGCAAGGCTGCCGGCCCAGACGGAATCCCTAGCCGCGTCCTCAGAGCATGCGCAAACCTGCTGGCTGGTGTTTTTACAGATAGATTCAATCTCTCCCAATCCCAGTCTGCTGTCCCCACATGCTTCAAGATGGCCACCATTGTTCCTGTACCCAAGAAAGCAAAGGTAACTGAACTAAATGACTATTGCCCCGTAGCACTCACCTCTGTCATCATGAAGTGCTTTGAGAGACTAGTCAAGGATCATATCACCTCTACCTTACCTGTCACCCTAGACCCACTTCAATTTGCTTACCGCCCCAATAGATCCACAGACGATGCAATCGCCATCACACTGCCCTATCCTATCTGGACAAGAGGAATACCTATGTACGAATGCTGTTCATTGACTATAGCTCAGCATTCAACACCATAGTACCCTCCAAGCTCATCATTAAGCTCGAGGCCCTGGGTCTGAACCCCGCCCTGTGCAACTGGGTCCTGGACTTCCTGACGGGCCGCCCCTAGGTGGTGAAGGTAGGAAACAACACCTCCAATTCGCTGATCCTCAACACTGGGGCCCACAAGGGTGCATGCTGGGCCCACTCCTGTACTCCCTGTTCACCCATGACTGCGTGGCCAAGCACGCCTCCAACTCAATCATCAAGTTTGCAGACGACACAACAGTAGTAGGCTTGATTACCAGCAATGACGAGACAGCCTACAGAGAGGAGGGGAGGGCTCTTGGAGTGTGGTGCCAGGAAAATAACCTCTCACTCAACATCAACAAAACAAAGAGGATGATCATGGACTTCAGGAAACAGCAGAGGGTGGCACCCCCCTATCCACATCGACGGGACCACAGTGGAGAAGATGAAAAGCTTCAAGTTCCTTGGCGTACACATCACTGACAAACTAGTCCCCTGTAGCTCAGTTGGTAGAGCATGGCGCTTGCAACGGCAGGGTTGTGGGTTCGTTTCCCACGGGGGGCCAGTATGAAAATGTATGGATAAGAGCGTCTGCTAAATGACTAAAATGTAAACTGAAATGGTCCACCCACACAGACAGTGTGTTGAAGAAGGCACAACAGAGCCTCTTCAACCTCACGAGGCTGAAGAAATTTGGCTTGGCACCTAAAACCCTAACAAACTTTTACAGATTCACAATTGAGAGCGTCCTGTCGGGCTGTATCACCGCCTGGTACGGCAACTGCACCTCCCGCAACCGCAGGGCTCTCCAGAGGGTGGTGCGGACTGCCCAACACATTACCGGGGGCAAACTACCCGCCCTGTATTCTATAATATTCTACTGTATCTTAGTCCATGTCGCTCTGTCATTGCTTGTGCATATATGTATATATTCTTAATTCCATTCCTTACTTAGATTTGTGTGTATTGGGTATATGTTGTGAAATTGTTAGATATTACTTGTTAGATATTACTGCACTGTCGGAGCTAGAAGCACAAGCATTTCGCTACACCCGCAATAACATCTGCTAAACAAGTGTATGTGACAAATACAATTTTATTTTATTTTTATATCACCTCAACAATGCATAGCCTTCCAACGGTTTTCTTAAACCTACCTTGGTCACAATCAATCCAAAGTTTCACCTCTTGGACTTGGGTTTTGGACTGATTAATGGATCATAGCCCATCTCTCCAAATTGTAATTTGTGAGAAAATACAAGCGATTATTCCTTTGCCTTATTAGAAGCTTCAATGTTTAGCATTCTACTTCCAAACATAAAAGGCACGCTTGACATTATTTTCAAGAAAATTATTACAAAGGGAGAAGCACCACGCACATGCAGTAAATGTGCAGTAGGACCCAGTAGACAAAAGATTTGGACCAGCACTCCATCCTTGTACTTTATGTTTCTTGTGTAAGGTCAAAAGTCACCACTGTAATGCGAAACCCTGTATCCCCATCTAGCTTTATTGATCTTCCAGCAGTTGGCAATGAGAGGTTGACCTACAGATTGAGCTCAGTAATCTGCCATTCTGGGATGAATGCCAAAAAAGGACGATACTGGGCACAGTTTATATTTGACTCTCTTAAGATTAAGATAATCTCTATAGAGATCTCTATAGAATCTAAAAACATTGAGGACATAGCAGGAGTTATATATTTTTATGAATAATGTAGAGGCCCTTCACAGAATCTCTGATATCAGTGAGCAAGTACAGTCCTGGGAGTCAGATGTAGATATTGATGTTATTCCAACATCTAACAATTTCCCCTATCATCTGGAGGGTAAAGCCTTTTCCTGTTTTGACATTTCTGAAGAAAACATCTGCTTTGAATTGGAAAAACATTGCCTGGTCTGATGAATCCCGGTTCCTGCTGTTTTACACTGAGGACATGCATCCATCAACATTGCAGGCTGGTGGTGGTGGTGGTAAGATGGTGTGGGGTGTGTTTTCATGGCACACGTCGGGCCCCTTGATAAAAGTGGAGCAACGTTTGAATGCCACAGTATATTTGAACATCATTGCCAATCAGGTGCATCCCTTTATGGCAGCAGTGTATCCATCTGTGAATTAATTTTTTCAGCAGGAAATGCCCCATGCCACAGGGCTAGGATTGTCCAGGAATGGTTCCTCGAACATGACAGTGGATTCAGTTTACTACAGTGGCCTGCCCAGTCACCAGATCTCAATCCAATTGAGCATCTGTGGGATGAGCTGGAACTAGCTATTCGGAGTAGAGATCCCCTACCAACTTGAGACAACTGTGGAAAGCATTGGAGTCAACATTGGCCAGCATCCCTGTGGAACGCTTTCGACACCTTGTAGAGTCCATACACCGGCGAATTTGTGTATTAGTGTAAATAACCCATGTACAGTCTACATTTACATTTTAGTCATTTAGCAGCCGCTCTTATCCAGAGCAACTTACAGTTAGTGCATACATTATTTTTTTTCATACCCCCTGTGGGAATCGAACCCACAACCCTGGCGTTGCAAACGCCACGCTCTTATCAACTGAGCTACATCCCTGCCGGCCATTCCCTCCCCTACCCTGGGCCAATTGCGTGCCGCCCCACGGGTCTCCCGGTCGCGGCCGGCTACGACAGAGCCTGGATTCGAACCAGGATCTCTAGTGGCACAGCTAGCACTGCGATGCAGTGCCTTAGACCACTGCGCCACTCAGAGGATGCTACAGTGTATTGCATTGCGGGCTATGGAGGGGGAGGAGAATGAAGTACTGCTCGTTATGTACGATACAGTCCCCCTCCAAAACTACCATATTTGGTTAGTAGAGACCCTACTGAGTAATTCCCACTCCGGATTAACACCCTTAATCGGGATCCCGGGACACTCTTCACCTTTAGCCTAGTGTATTTACATCACACAAAGTCGCCATGAATTCAAAGCATACGCCGGACTGCACACGAGACCCGAATGCAGTTTAAAGTTCTCATCAGAACTAGAATTCGATCCCGGTCCAACCCAAGCCCGGTGAGCTGAAGCCCAGGCCTGGTCCGACATCACAGAAATGAGCCTGAACCCCCCAAAAAGCCAGATTTCTAGAAAACAGTAGGCTAAATTGATTTCAACTGGTGTTGAGAACAATGCAGTGGAGGCAGGCGGCAGCGGAGTGAGGAGATGAGGAAACAGCCATTGGGCCTAGAAAAAGAGCAGAGAGAGCAATACCCACCTTAGCTATGATCGACTGAATGAAGAAAATATTGGAACAAAGTACGCAAATGCAATAGAAGGAATGTATCAAATTCTTGCTTATATTGAAACTCCCAAAGTCATATCTAACCGTTATACTAATTTAAAGCAATAGTCTTGTGTGGTCACCTAGATTATATCATTTCAGTTTTGATTGGTACAGCGCCATCGCGCTGCGTGGAGGACTCTTCTTGATAAATCAATCTCTGTCAGATTTTTTTTCACTCAATCTCCATTTGGATATTTGTAAAAAATTAGGCTGGGGAAATGTTAGCTAAGTTAAGTGAGTGCTAATGATCATCTTTATTCTAGTTTGCTCATATATTAGCTGTTCAGAACATTTTCCTAGCATGTTATACAAGTTGATTTTGCTCTTCACTCGCATAGTAGCCTGTCCTTCTCCCGACCAAAAGCCTGTGACTTGTCTGATAATCAATCAATGTGATTTTGTTTCACTGAATCTCTGTCTGTATATTTGGTTAATTGATCTCTGGCTGGACAAGTGGAAGTGGTAGCTCATTTATTAGTTGACCCATCTATCACTGATCAGAAACATTTAGCATGCAATAATGTATCCTAAATCAAGTGTAGGCCTATTATTTATCTATTGACTCACGGATTAGCCTTATATAGAGCCTAGGCTATTTTCTTATCGTCCCAATTCCACTGAAACCCAAAATCCTGAGCCAAAATTACAAACTTTTTTCTGTAATCAAATTAAATTTTAATTGTCACATTCTTCGTAAACAACAGGTGTAGACTAACAGTGAAACTCCTTCTTACGGGCCCTTCCCAACAATGCAGAATACAATAAAAAAAATCACAAATAATA